GACGGCGACGGCAGTGAAAAGGTCGCTGAAAAAGTGAATTCGCGTTCTTTCAATCTTTATCGCGATTACTCCAAGTCACTAACTTTGTCAAATGTAGGCGAACCCTCCTAAAGGTGAATTCCTAAGAATCATATCCAAGTTCAGAAAGAGAGAGGAAATCTCGTCGTCGCTTGTGTACTTCCTCTGTACATCGTGACATTAGGCATTTTCACGTCGTAGTCGTGCAATGACGGCAAAGAAATGTACAAAAAAGCGTGATGCACGTGCAAAATTGTTGTTTTGCTAATTAAACCTATTGCTTTTGTAGCGTTCCCGTTGCCGTCGCCGTCGTCGGATCTTAAGGTCCCTGATATGATCCGACAACGGCGACTTCCATGAAAACGTCGCTGAAAAACAGACTTCGCGTCATTTCAAACTTTTTCGCGATTATCCCAATTCGCCCTGTTACTTAAAAGAAGGGGATTTTGGCTGGAGCTGAAGAGAGGGGAACGCGTTCAAGTTCGGACAGAGATGGTAGAATTTATCGCCTTGCCGTTCCCGTTCCCAAGTAAACTTAAAATATGGTTATTTCACGCCGTAGTTATGCAGTAAAGGCAAAGAAATGTACAAAAAAGCGTGATGCACGTGCAGAGTTGTTGTTTTGCTCATTAAACCTATTGTTTTTTTACGTTCCCGTTGCCGTCGTCGTCGTGGTTTCGTAAGGTCCCTAATGACGAGAAAAAGGCTAGGCTGGGTTACATTTAACCAACTTTGGAGGAAACCAGGTCGTGACACTGACAGCTGGCAGAAGATAAAATGTGACTGCAAATTGAACTACACCAACAAAAGAAGAAAATTGACTGATACACACTGAGAAGGAAACTAGACCAAGTTGACGTTCGCAAAGACTTCTGTACTGCTACTGACAACAGGGGAAAAAAATTGGCCAATAGCTGACGGTCGCGTCCCCAGTAACAATCCTAGAAACATTTGCGGGACACGTATGGGCTCAAATCCCCTTCTCGTTTCTAAGGAGGCGAATGGACAGTTTAAGTAACTACGAAGGCGTCACCAGTACAGTGAAGACTCGATCTTTCAAACTTAATCGTGATAGCAACTTGCTCATGACCAATGTTCCTAAGGACACATTGTAAGGGACCACTCCCAAGTTATAAAGAGAGGAAAATGTATCTTCATATGTTCGTGCCCCCATTTAAGTTCGCGGGAAATTTCGCGTTAGAGTTCTGCAAAGGATAGCGGGCGAACGCAGACGTGTTTCCTGTTCGGGTGGAGAGAAGCGACGACCGGAAATACCTTTGCGTTTGCACCAAAAAGTGTGACGTGTCGTTAATATCGAGTTCAGTTAAGGCAAAACCTATTGATTGCTCGTTTCTTATTATTTATCGTTACATAAACTTCCTAATTTTTAGCTGATGTGGTCATGCCTCTATGATAAGGAGTGGCAATTTGGTGCACCTAAATGCCTTTCCTCTTTTCAAACCCATTTTTTCTCTTTTCTAAGCCTGAAGCTTTGTACGTGATATTTGTCATAAATACCACTCGTGATATTTCAAAGTAGTCTCAAATTTCATTAGTGGTATTTATGCCAAATATCACTACAAATCATGCTATTACCTACACTAATTCCCTACGCAACTTAAGGCTAACAAGGGCGAAAAAATCATATCAAACTAAGTACACTGATTTGTGGTTTATCACATACTCAGTCCAGTAAGTGTGTTTCCTGCTGTGCAAGGCAGCTCATGTCCATCGTCCAGCTTCTTCTTCTGTTTCGCATCAGGAAATTTGTAAAACACTTCCAGCTCTGCTGCTTTACTACTGGGTGTCACAATAATGGTCTTTTCCACTGCTGCAACCTCTTTATGATGCTAAAAGATCATTACCAGTCACTAAATCAGGGCTACTGTTGTGTGTTTTACAAAAACGACAAACAAACATGCTAAGGTTCGGGGTGTTGGTCAGCCAAGCCCAGATACAATTTAAAGATGTAAAGTAAGAACTTTACGACTACGCATCACACCCTGCTGACAGTGCCTTCCTTTAACTTTCTCGATTTTGGCGTATTTGAGAAAGATTCCGCACAAATCGAGTAAGCTTGTTGTTGTACATGAGGTAATTGTTGCTGATAAACTTTTTTGAACCCAGGCCTAAAAGCTGTGCACACGGTACAGTGGGTTTAGGTATGGCCATCGCTTCATCAATAAACGGTTGGTCGCACTTGGAAAACCAGTTTGACGATAGAGAACAAGATTGACTGGTCCAGATGTTCTGGCTTCAGCGACTTCACTGGGATCACGGGAATCAGACAGAACCTCCTTTTCTTCCTCCTCACTTAAGAGGAAAAAAGTAGGCTCTGCTCGTAGGGTGATTGTAGAGAGGTTTAGATTCTAAGACGAGTACGAGATTTTCTCAATACAAAGTAGGGCTTGCGCGTGAACCAGCCTCATTTTGGCGGGAAAACGTGGTAGCCGTCGTCACTCTACTAAGAATTCTAGCGCGAATGTCGTGGTGACGAAAACAAGTTACCAAATGTTGGAAGTTTTATTACTTTGGGATTGAAAGAGCGCGTAACCTCCTTTACTAAAGATAACAGCGCTAACGTTTCTAGTGAAAAATGTTAAAATAAAGCTTTCCGGGGAGTCTATATTTTGAGAATACGCGAAAAAACTTTAAGTCAAATCTCGCACTAGTAGTCGTCCTCGTTCTTGAATCTAAAGGTCTCTGGTACCAAAGCCAAAAGGGACCATCACCATTTCCCTAATCAAACGACAAACCTGTAACTCTATCTTGGCCTTTAGTTTGGTTTCCTTGGTGATCTGCTTCAGACTGATGTCAGCGCCTGTTAGGGAGGCCTTCCCAGATGCACTGCAGTCTCCTATGTAAGTTGGTAAGCCTGGTGTGCCTGTCAGCTACAACACACGTAGTTGTTTCTTATCAAATTCAAGTTTTACAATAACAAAGCGATTTTTCACACGCTGATTGGTCGAGAGCTGTGCTCGATGAGACTCGGAAATGAAGTGAAGATGGCGTTATATATTTTTTTTCTTTCTCTCTCGCGCGATTTCCCTATAATCGGCCACAAAATTAGTTGAGACGCTTTGCCCTAAAGGGCCTCTCTGACCCCCTCCATGCAACGTTGTACCGCTGTTCGAGCTATCTGTTGAAAACAAAAAACCCCAACTTTGAATCGACGGGATGGGGGAGGGGTACAGATTGTTTTGTTCTCCGAGGTTATCCCATTTGAGGATAATGTCTCAACAATTTTGTCGTCGATTGTAAACTGCAAAGTAGGTGTATTTTGCACTGCGAACGATGATACTATAAATGATCTCCTGCCATCTGGGACATTGCTTTTAAGATGGCAGCCGCCCTCAATGTACCTTTTTGTTAAAAAAAAATTAAAACAAACAAATAAATATGATTTCCCAAGAAACATCATCAGAAATGGACATCAGTGTTATCGAAAAAAATAATGACAATTTTTCATGGTCGGTACAATTAACGACCATAGAAATGACATTAAAAGTTCAAAACTTTGCAGCACGCCTTCGGCTCGTGTTTGAACATTTTGACGTCATTTCTATGATCGACAAGGGAATAGACCATGGAAAATTATAGTTGATTTGTTATTCTCCATACACAGTGTACTGCAGGTGAAGTTTCTGATCAAATTTTGGTTCTAAAACTTCAGCAAGGTCAAGCTGATATTCACGGGGCTCGAGACAGCAGTAAATGTAGATTATATTTAGCTTGCCTACAATAAAATAATACGAACAGTCTACCGTATGTGGGAAACAAGCTATGAGGTTCTTTGTGTATTCTCCAAAGCTCAGAGCTATCAGGGATTTTCAAATATGTAGTTGCAATGAACGTCTAACAATCGTCAATTTGCTTGAACAGAGTATACTCAACGCCTCATGACTCCTTAACAAAGTTATGGAACCGGCATTTTAAAATTGAAGTTCTAATGTTAGGAATAAGGAGCAATTACGCCACAGTTAGTTAAATCACAACGGGGTGAACATTAGCATAGTTACCTTGCAGACAACATTAAGCCTTGGTTGAACTGTTAGGTTTCCCGCCTTGTCCTGGACCTGCACTTGTAGCTGCAGGGCACTGTTGTTTTCAATGGTGACCTCACTGTCATTTGGTGTGACCGCAAGGGATTCTGGTGGGCCTGCAGCACAAAACGTGTTTCAGTAAACAGAAACAGTCATGCTGACGTGAGTCAAAAATTGGAGTGAGAAGGGGGCGAGCACGTCACGGTAAAACCCTAGAGCCACGATGCCTTGTGAGCTGCGTTCTACTGGGATGAGCCGGATCAGGATCAGTGATCAGAGATCATTCGGACCACAGCACATTAAAGGAACCGACAAATCAACCCTGGAAAAGGATTCTTTGGTTCATTTGATGTAGCATGATCCGAGTGATCCCAGATCACTGATCCTGATCCCGATCAACCCAGAGGAACGCATCCTTTTTAGACAGTGTCTCTCTTTTTTTTTTTAAAGGAAAATTTACATGCTGGTAAACATTGTAAATTGTGATTTGTATTACCCACGGACCACTTAGGAGTTCTTAAGAACTCGATGAAACGTGTCCGTGGGTTCTAGATCGAATTAGAATTTGAAAGTGTTGATTTTTAAGGAGGGGTAAAAACCGGGTACCCGGAGGAAAAACCTCTCGGAGCAAGGGAGAGGAGCAACAACAAACTCAACCCACATATCGCGTCAAAAGAGTACCTGGAAGTAACCTGATCTTCAAGCTCTGCGAACCTTCTTCAAGTCCTGGTAGGGTGATCTTTAGATTAAAATCCTTTAACAACAAACAAACAAACAAAAAACTGTTCAGATAAATTTAACGTAAGTTTGAGATTTTGAATCATGAAGGCTACTCATGATATCGTCGTACTCTATTTTATTACGAGAAATTGAATCAAATCGGCCAAGATGTTTTCCAAAAAAACCCCTCACCTTTCCTGCATGGGATGGTACAGAACCAAGGGCCACCACACCCTTAACGATCAGGCTGTTTCCCTTCACTGGTGTTCCCTGGTGAGTCAACTCCAGTCCGCTAACAATATAAACAAGATATGTTATTCCGTTGAAGGCAGGATTGACTTTAACACCAAGGTTACTAATCCATGTTTCATTAAAAAATTATCAAAATACACTCACCTTGCACTTAACACGGGTGCTTTTTCCTCTGATAACTTTGAAGGGTTGTTAAACTCATCCAGCAAATTCAGTGGAATCTTAACCAAAAAAACATAGTATTCTATAATATTTGCTATTCTAGACTAGCTAAACCTTGTTACCATCCTCTAGTGACATATTGCTAGGGATACTTGGATAATATTTTGCTTATTATGTGTTGCTGGCCTCTTAGAACCCCTTCACAACCATAGGCTATTCTGTGGCCAATTACAGACTCCATCTTAGTCACTTTTGGGCAAATATAATTTTCTGCACAATCCCAACTTCCCATTTTTAAGCCCCTTCTTATAATGATTTTTTCCCTAAAAACCCGAAAACCTGAGACCCAATTCTAGTAACTCTTCGGAAAATGCAAAGCCATTATTCCCAATTATAGTCAACCCAGTCGTGGAAATGCGACCCCATCCAGGGGAAGTGCCCCCCCCCCCCACCCCCGAAGGGAGCTACATCCTCTCACGAACGGGGTGGAGAGGCGGGGGGGTGAAACAAAAACGTATACCTGGAAAGGAACTCCAACTCTAAGAGGTGTCTCCAACATTCCAACAGTGAATTTGTTTGGATGATCCTCTAAATAAACAAAAATGACAAAGGAGAAACAAGATAACAAAAGATGTACGAGTTATTTTAACAGGGTGGATCAAAAATACAATGTTCCCATTCAAAACGAATCTGGAACCAAATTGTTCGCAATCGTCACGAATCCAGAAAAATCACATCTAGCGTAAGAGCAACCTAAAACTGTCCCAGGCTGGTCATTTTTTACAAACCTGTAACGGTAAACTTGATACGATGGACTGGAAGACTCTTAATTGATGGTGCAGTTGAACTGTCACTCAGTAACACTTGAAGCTGAAGAGTGTGGGGGCCAAGGAGGGTAATATTTTCTGAAATGACAGCAAGAACAGGTAAATTCAAACACTGTTTTCAACTGGCCCCAGTTGTTCAAACACTGGATAACCCTATCCACTGGATTAAAACACTAAATCTCATTGCAGCAGACTCAGGGCGTTTTCCATTTGTCAGAACTGGCCGGCTGGACCATTGCCCGACTAGTCGGTTTGATAATGAAATACGCTTTTTCCAAGAGTTTTGCTAAACAACCATTTCCTTGGTGCATACTACTTAGGATTTGACTGATCTGGCTGGAGAGATTTGATTAAAATGGAAATTCTCATTGCGTTGGGAATGCTTTGGCCGGTCAGTTCTGACAAATGGAAAGCGCCCTCAGTTACCCATTTTTCTGAACCAGTAAGGCCAGCTCTTTCCCCCATGTTCACAGACATGATTAGCGATTACTTTATCTCCATCTTTGTCACTTCGATTTCTGCAAAAAATACATAAATAAATAACAGTAACGATCCTTATAAGATCAAAATACAGAGCTTTAGATTCTAAGATGAGGACGACTACGACAACGAGATTTTCCCAATACTAAGTGGTGCGCGCGTGAACCAACATTTTGACGGGAAAATGTGGTAGCCGTGGTCATTCTGCTAGGGAGCTTTAGCAACTACGACGGCGACGGCAACCAGGACGTCAAAAAAAGCAATAGGTTTATTACGCAAAACAACAACTTTGCACGTGCATCACGCATTTTTGTACATTTCTTTACCGTCCTTGCATGACTACGACGTGAAAATGCCTAATTGCAAGTTTTATGGAGGAAGTAAACAAGCGACGACGAATCTCTTTTTCTCTCTCTTAAGTTGAGTGCGGTCCTCAAGAAATCAACTCCAGGGAAATTCGCCTACACTTGCCATTATCAGCAAATTGGAATAAACGCGACAAACATTTAGAAAACGGGAATTCAATTTAAAACTGACGTTTTCGCTGCCGTTGCCGTAGGGAGGATGTCGTAGTGGCAAAAACAGGTTATCAAATGTTAGGAATTTTATGATTTAGCGATCAGGAGAGGGCTTAACCTCCTTCAACGGAAATAAGCCTGCTAACTTTTGTGGTTAAAAAAAAGTACAATAAAGCTTTCCGACGTGTCTATTTTTAGAGAACAGGCGGGAAAACTGAAAATCAAATGTCGTCCTCGTCCTAAAATCTAAAGAGTGTTATCTAATAATGGTAAAAAAAAACAGTAACAGTAACATTAGAAACAAAAGCAATAACAAACAAGTAAAACTAACAAGTGTAAAAACAAATTTCTTAACTCCTGAGAGAGGTATTTTGTGCAAATGGAGACCTAATTTTTTGTTGCAGTTTTATGAGTCAATGCTTGATTAAAAAAGAGGAAAGCTCATTGCTACGAGCAGCCAGCAATGCATACTACGAGCCC